GCGAAGAAAATATTAGTCCAAGTAGCATTAACACCATTTGAGCGGAAATGCTCAAACGGGCTGCCTAAGCCTGGACTGAAATGAACATAAGAATATTGATTTAGAGTTGGCTCAGTGGAGGCAAAAACAGATTCGTTGAGAATAATAGGTAGTGGAAGCTAAGGGAAAAATAGAAAAGCAAGAGAGAACTTGACTGAAGTTTGACAGCATTCAGCAGGCTAGAAACTAAGCAGGAAAGGATGAGGTGGTGAAGAGAAGGTATGTTTATGAAGAGAAATAAGGTTTAACGAAAGATATTTTCGTTCAAGAGGCCTTGAAACTAGGCTCCGTATATTTGGCGATCAGCTTGCTAGCCTACAGTTTCTGACTCTTACATTTTTCCCAACAGCTTGCCCTGCGAACACGGCTCGTGAGCTTTTGCAGCAAGAAATATTGGGTGCAGGTAAGAATATAGTATATAACTATAGTACAGCCAACAATATGCCAAAAGAGTTATCTTGTGGAGGCAGTTGTTCATGTCTGACACCTTAGAAAGTATATGTAAGCATATATTCAGCCTTCTAGAACGGCGCCAATACAAACGTCTTAGCTGTACCTGGCTAACTGACAAAGGATTGCGGAGACCCCTGGGCTTTCTTCTTGACTTGGGGTCTTCTAAGCTCGCCAAAGACATTCTCAACCAAGCACCCACCCTCAAGCGCTCCTGTTTTGGTTTGAGGGGTGTCTCCGTAGACAAACCTTTGCACCTGAGACTCTCGCAGCCCAAGCCAAAAGGTCCCGAAGTTGACCCTAGAGACACTGAACTATTGAGAACCGCCTTCATCTCAGCAGTTCTTAAGTCCCAAACCTCTGCCCCGACCACATACCCTTTGACGAGACTGTAGTTTGCCCTAAACCAATGACGGCCAGCTCTGCGAACAACAGTCTCATAGAACAGGACCGGACTCCAATCGAGGCATCTGGGAAAAAGAGACAAAATATGCTGAAATACGAAAAGCAGACTAAACTCAGTCCAGTCTGCACACTAGCCTCACCTAACCCTCAAAGAAGGCTCCTCGGGAATTCTCCCACTCGCAACCATGTGCGTTTGAACAGATCGCGAAAGCCGCTGGATCCCAGTAAATGACCAAATCTGCACCCATTTGAATGGTCGTTCCTGTAATGTACTCTCAAAGCCCAATAACCCCAACAACGGAGACATTTTTCGGACGAAGGGGAGGACAGGCTGGCCGCCAGAGAGGCTCCTCCGATGGTGAAATACCTTCTCATGATAGCCCCTCTATTAACGTACACTTACCTCACACCCATCACCAAAATTGTTCCTTCAGACCGCTCGCCCGGTCCCGCCTTGCTTCCTACCAGACCTAAGAACGTTCACGAACGCAA